AAAATGTTTCAAGTAAAACTTACTGTATTTCGAGGGAGACATTGTGATCACAAGATTTCGAGATTTCGAGATCCCGAGATCTCAGATTTTTTTACCTCTTTTACTTCTATTTTTTTAAAGATCATATAAGAATCATATTTTTTGTGCATTAATCGATAAAATTCGACATTTTCTATTATAAAAAATGTTTGAAACTTAAATATGTCGAAAAATTATTAGTTTAGAAGATATTTTAACTTTAATTTTGTAAAATCTATCGTATGGAAGACGAGAAAAGAGGCAGTATTCTTATATTCATATTTATGTTCTGTCCTTGTCTGTAATATTTTATAAAATTAAAAAATCTCTTAATAATTTAATTAATAATCGATATACATAGATTAGTAAATTTTTATAAAGAATTTCTTATCCATTAGTGCATAAAAAAATACATGATTGCATTTAAAAAAAAAAATCTTAAGATATCAGAAATACCCTCACCTAAACAAATCTGTTAGTCATCATAAGATATCCTCTTCGAAACAAAAAAAATTTTATTTGAAACATTTTTTTGAATAATAAATAGTTGGAGATAATTACATGCAAAAATTCAAATGAGACATCCTATTTAAGGCATTTACAATATAATATGCTTTTTATCTTTTTTTTCATTATATTATAAAAATTAAAAATTCGTATAAAAATCCGCAATTCAATTATAATATTTAATCGAAAAGACTAAAATATTGTGCATTTCCGAACATATTGTGCGTAATTCCAAATATGTAAGACTCCTGCGATTCCTAAATTCACCTATCTCGATCAATTGTTATCCTAAAAACTAATTATGTTAAGGAATTTAACTATGAATAAATGAATGAAGGCTTGATTCACTAGAACAAACGTATTTTTATTCACAGCTCGCCCAGGTGTTCCTTTGCCTTTTGTTTGATCAATTGTCCACAGTTTAAGTTCATTCTACCACTTAAATGAATTCTTGGTGCTTGTTAGCAATCGTATAAATATCTAGTATATATTTGTATTCTAATCAAGAATGACAAATTGTATTGTTTATCCAATTATTGATAGTTTTATAATAGGAAAGAAAACTGAAGCTTGAAATGTAATAATGGTATGCGATATTATCTTCTTCACAAATTGCATTAAAATAAAATCATGATTAATTACAATGCGTGTTAGAGGTTATTAATTATTAATACCAAAGTCTTTTTTTCCTTTTTCTTCTCATATGTCAAAATTGTAAATTTCTATTCATTATTCTTTTTAAAGAATCACAAGATGACGATCATATTTTAACAATATCGAAATTGTAATAATTGAGTTAACAAACAGTTAATAATTGAGTGAACAAATTTTGTAAATTGTAAATATCGAATTTGTGTAGAAAGTGGAAAATAACTTGAATTTTTTTACAGTCTCGTTAAAAAATTATGTATCTACGAAATAATTTGCTATTCGAGAAGAAAAACTGCAACACCTTAGTTATTATTATCGTCAAACTAAATCGACAGTAATGTATATAAAAGGAAGTTCATCAACATAAATAAAATTATTTGCTAGTTTTCTCATAACAGTGAACAAAGACATTTGTATTCAAATTAGTGAATATCATCAAACATGATACAATTTTATTCCAATATATTACGTTAAAAACAACAAACTGACGAAATAAAGGAAGCACAATTCCACCATGATTGTAGAAAATGTTATGTGCCTGACACGGGACGGGAATCTCTAACGAATATGTAAAACACGATTTGTACAAAAATTAGTTAATATAAAGCAAGTTAATATAGTTGATGTTTTTTATCGAAATCCCCAGATCTAAGTTGTCAATTAAATTTAAAATTCAATATTTACAAAGTATATTACTCTATTGATGAAATTTTAAATTATAATTTGGTTCTTGATGTAAATCAAATAAATAAATGGAGAAAGATATTATATATTGTAAGATAATAGGTTAAAAACTTTTGCAGAACCGTATCTTCTTTAACATTATCTTTTCTAAATGAAAATGCAAACTTTTTACACAGGTCGAATCTATATATTTTTTTTCCGAGTAAAGGAAAAATTATTTTTTAACGGTTTTGTAATCCACGAATTAGATATTTCGAAACTTTTATTATCTTTGAAAAAATCATAGGATGTAAACTCCGCAGTTATTTAACTTCCTTTTCACAAATTTTACGATAGCACGATAACTTATCTTTATCTATACATCTATTAGAAAAAAATTCCCAGAACTGACAATAAGATTTCCGGAGCAAGAACGAACGACAAGGAACGGAAACAAGCACAAGAAAACATAATGCTTGAGATTTGACTTCAAAATAATTAACCAGGGCTTGGACCAATTCCAAAAGAAGTTTTTAATAAATGTTATATAAAAGTTCTGTAAATATATAATATGTATATTCAGAAGATTCTAACTCATATCGGTTTCATCTAATATTATTTAATATTATGTAGATTTAATACAGTAATAAATATATCGGTTCTACATTTGTAAACAATATCACATTTTTTAAATGTTATTTGCAATGCCTTTTAATCGCCGAATACCACTTTGTTCGTATAAACATAAACAAATGAAGAGCGATTCAAAAAAGTTAAGAACAATAGATTAAAGTTTTCAATTTATTGTTAGTGAGTGGAAAGCATTTCAACTTTCAACCAAGCATTTTTTTTCTTATTATTGTAAAAACAGTAAATAATCATTGATAATATACTATAATTGATGGTAATTATATAGTTGTACGTTTATCAACATCTTGAATGATTTCTTTCAAAAAAATGTCAAACTCTTTTAGTTTCTGTGGTATTCGCAAAAACTTGTCGCTACCATATAATGATATTCTGCTTATATTTGTGCGTTCATGAAAGCGTATCCGTCAGTATGGGTTACTGCGGCTGAATTAGATTCAAACTAATACAAACCTAACTTTCATCTTTTGACATCATTTGTGATATGTTATTACCTCTACAAAAGTGACACTCCAGAAATACATTCCAGCAGTAGTGATTTTATTTCCTCATAAAGAGATTTAAATAGCGATTAATAATTAATAATCACCTATTAAAATATGTATTATTATTTATTATATTTATTTCTCCACAAATTGTGATCGTTAATTTATTTTTCAAATCGACTGTATACACGTTTAAAAAGTAAGAATCAAGTTTGGACTAGCTGATTTTATTCGGACGCCTTACGGCGACCGGCAACGCATATCATTAACGGATATGCTTGTATAGTCGCCTAAGTATAGACAAAATATCATTGTGTGGCAGCGACAGTTTCTTACGAATATCGGAAACTAAGAGAGTCTGATATTTTCGTAAGAGGAAAAAATTGTTGAGAATTTTGTTTTCTATAACATATTTGAAAATCATCAAAATCTGTGCTAAGAATGTAAAACTATATAATTACCCCATTGATAATATGTTTACCAAATTATAGAAAATGATAACTATATGCAAAATTAATAAACAAAAGTACTACCAAATAACCTGATCTAACTATATACAGAATCAGTACAAATATAATCAACATGTATATGTATCATATACGATATATAATAACCATTCTGGAACTGTTACGGATTTGATACAATATTGATTTTTTAAAACTGAAATCGAAATGAATATAAGTCAAATGCTTTCATTTTTATTCATTCCAATAAATCATCAACTGTGAACAGCTATGTTATCAATAAAATGCTTAATAATCAATCAACCATGCAAAATCGGAAACATGTGTATATATTTGTGAGTAACGAGGTACTTATTTTCGAACTCCAAAAGTTGAACACAAAAATGAGCATCTGATCATCAGTCACATTTATCAAACCGTTTATCAAAAAATATTTAACAACGATAACAACGATACAATGATGAGAACGACCCCTAATTTATACAAAAACCAAAGTTCGAATTTGTTTTCGTACAAATGACACCTGGAAAGCTACATATATTTATAAGAATACATACAGAATTTTAAAATAGATAAAAAAATGTTTCACTCTCGTCCAAAATCGAATGGAACAAAATTTTGAGTATTTTTACCCTGTTTCCAACGAAGCGAAAAATAAATTCGAAAATCGAGTTAAATTGAACAGATGCAGGAACGAAAACGGCTTAGGAAGAAATTTCATAGAGAAACAAATACATATCGAAGAAAGCAATGACCACGCGATCGAAAATAACTCTTACATCACAATCTTTCATTCTTTTGCGCGCCAAAATAAATATTTTTACCACGGAAATGATAACGCATGCCAACCGTGCCTACTTAGTTTTAATTTTCATATAATTTATTTAAGACGCACAATTTCCTAATGTATGGCCTTTATAACGTATCTCCTAACCGCACAGATTCTCCATACATCACCATTTCTAACCGTTCCATTCCATATTTGTTCAGCAATGCAATAGACCGTGGCAGTCGGAACAGAATACGTATCAACACCGTTGCACAAATGTTTGCGCCACGGTACCAGCGAGTACCAGCGCGAATACTTACTACAACGGCCGCGAGAGAATTCAACGCAAACGGCCACATTATACAGAATTTCTCGGTGTCCGCGACGGTGCCACGTGCTGAACCAGCCATCTTTGTATCTAGAACCTGCTGTTGCTGCTTATCACTTGGATTCTCGATTCTTCGAAACGATAGAGAACATGGTGATACTATAATCTTAATAGAAAGTGATCGTCCGATATAATGTGAGATAGCCAATGGTCAAACAAACATATCAAACATCACCTGATTCACAACAAAGTTCAGCAATCCAAAAATTAAAAAAAAAATTTTCCCACTCTCAACGTTTGAAATACGTATGTACATCAATAATAGTTTAATATCTCTGTTGAACGATACTCCACACTCATACACTGTCGCCTATGTTTATCCTACGCCTCAAAAACATTGAACATTCGAAAACAAGAGGAGAAAGACAAAAGGACGAAACCGTGTGACAAATGGAAAACTATCTTACCTTGAACAAGTGCTCGCTACACTCGACGAACATAGGGGTGCTCATGACGGCGGTCGACATGTTCCTTAAATTTTTCACAAAATCACACTGGAATCGCGATTCGGCCAACTAGCTTCCTCTCCTCCTTTGAGAGTAGAGCAGCGTGAGTGTAGCACAAAAGCCGGTGGTTAATTAAAAGAAAACCGCGATTATACGTTTCAACTGCGAGAACACAAAAACTGCCACTCCAACGATACGTTCTTGTGGATTTGCATTGGAAGCACACCCGTCGATTTTCTCAGCGTACGAGGAGATTAATAAAAGTCGAAAATGAACAAAACCGAAGGAGCGACGAATATTTCCTCTCGCGTCGAATAAACAGCACGCCTCTCTCTTGCCTTGGAGCCTCTTTGATGCTCAACTTGTGTCACGTGTAGAGATCACCGTGAAAACGAAAGACGATTACGTGTATATACATATATATGTATGTATATACGAGTGTGTGTGTACGTGTCTAGTTTCGTGTACGTGGATGTGGCGTGGCTGTATGTGTATGTGTATGTGTGCGTGAGGATGTGTTCGGTGTATCAATAACAGAGACAGAGTACTGTGAGAGAAACTTGGCACTTTTTCAGATCGAAGAATCTTTGTCGCGAGTCCCGTGGAGAGGGAAACTTGAAAACTCCCGTCCGTTCTTTCTTTTCTTTCTCGAAAAGACGTAGCTCGCAAGACCTCCGAATGCGAACTGTGGATCCGCGCGACCGCGCGACGCTCCGTGAGACTCGAAAGGCGGCACCGCGAGCTCCGCCAATCACACCACGCCAGCTACTCCCCCCTATCTTTGCGTTTCTATCGTCGAAGATTTGACAACAACGCCAACTCCTCAAGCCAATCATACAAAATATCTCTCCCTCCTTTTGTTGGTACCAGCAACCCCTTGGTCAACTGATTTTCGAATCCCTTCGAATTCTTCTCCCTCTTTACTCTGTTCTTTCTCATTGGTGGAAATAGAGGGTAGTTTCAGAATATTTACACAGATTAGCATGGCCGCTTCTGAAACGATTATTATTAATTTGTCAACATTTATGACATATGCATCTGTTAATTTTGAGTTTTGATTAGAATTGATTTGATAATTATATGTGATGTTTCAATCGTATATAAGATCTTTACAATAATTAGATTGTTTACGATCTTCAACTTTGGGAAATAAATTTCAAACAGCGTTGTAGGTATTTTTTTTATATATTATATAGATACATAATTTATCATTTTTCAAAAACACATATACATGTATGAACGTGATAGTATGCTGTTACGTAATAAATAGTTACCTTTTTAAAAAATTAAGTTTTGGTTTTGTATACATTTAAAAATTGGTAAAAAAAACAATCGTAAATATTTTAATCGATGCAAAATCTGATTATTTAATATATCATAATGATAACTTAAATAATGGGTTGTTTTTGCACATAATGCAAATGATAAATCTAATGAAAGCAGATAAAAGAAGCTTTATTCCCGATATTAGTATATTTGAAAAAATAATATCTAGAATATTATATTAATATTTTTCATAAATCTCATTTAATGTCTTTCGATCAAACTTAAACATTCGACGTTTAAATCTATATTACACATAAATTATGAAATGAAATAGATATAAAATATAATCGAATTTTACTTGATTAATTTATACGATTGCAAAACATAGAAATTTGTAATTTTAGATTAGTATGTTTTATGCAATGTTAGTTAGTTAAACAAAGATTTTTACTATATAATAGTACGTTAAATACAAAGAAAAGATAACTGAACGTTATGTATACGTTCTAAAAGCAACGTAACTATTTCACTTGCACTGTGATCGTATAGCTCGAATGTAGTTGCGCGATAGAATACTGAGAAGAGTCGCATGAATGAAATTGAGCTTCTATTCATGCACGTAAATCGTAGATTGTAAATAACCACCGTCCACGCATTGTTAGCATTCGATTATACACCGATCTCGATGTGTCGTAACAATGCGATACGCCGATTCATGGTAATACAAAAAAAAGTTTTCGTGAAATTTGAAATATATCGTTTATGTACATATGTAATTCGTGGAATTTGAAAGAAATAATCAAAAATGAACAAAAAATACGATCCATATTATGGATGTATCTTTAACGATGTATTCATGCATCAACAAGAACGATATTACAATTTATCATTTTTTGGCAAACGTATTACATGAATTGTTTTACACAACCTTTAACAAATAGTTCTTTTTCGATATAAAGTTAAAGATACTGAGTATATTAGAATAGTACAAAAAAAATTATTTATCACATATATTTTTACATAAGCATTTAGGATATCTATATTTTATTACACATTGAATTTGTTTTGATTATTTATCGTTAATATCATTTCGTTATCTACATGAAGTACTACTTATAAAAAATTTATTGTCGCTAAAATCGTTAATCGCTTATCGCTTACAAGAAAATTTTAAAGTTTGAATGAAATCAAAATGTAAATATTTTGCTAAAGGATTTACTTTCAAAATTATACTTTAAATTTATTTTTAAACTAAATCCTATGCTTATTCTCAAAGCTTACTGTGGGCAGGCAAAGTATAACGGTCAAGATCGAAGAAAGATTAAAGTAAAAAATGTCAATGAAAATTGAATAGGAGAAAATCGTGAATTTCAGTTATAGGTTGATATACGGTATCGTTTACAATGAAAATGGAGATTTTAATTCATTCGTGAGACATTCGTTCGTATGATCTAAATACAAAGAACCCGCATATTCCAAACTGATATCTGTACATATAGCTAGGCCACCATAACGAAAACTGACTCCTATTAGTCGATATATATAGCTTCATGAGAATCTGTTTGGGGTTGAAAACGTTAACCTTCCTTCTCCCTATTAGGGTTCTATCGCGAAGACCCTCATCACCCCGTATGTCATGGGAAAAACCATAACATCCTCTAATTGGACAGAGTCTGCCTTCCAAGCTGTTATCAAACTATGTTGATTATTACACGATAACCGTATTCAGATAAAAGATATGAGGATTTTTATTACACTGATAACTAACGACATCAATTGTCTCGTTAATCTTGTTTAATTCCTGAGCGAGATAATGCGAATGTCATGATTTTATTTTGGAAAACAATAATTCGAAATACAATAATTTAAAAAAACACAACAGTTACAAGGCAGTTATTAGATATTCTTTACAAATCTTCATAAGTTATGTTCAATCTTTTTATAGTAGATACTTGACATTGTGCCTCCATAAAATTAGTAGTGGTCTCACTTCCTATTCAAACGATCTCGTGTCGGAACTTCCCGACTTTCCCTTTGCAAAATGTCACTTCCTTCTCCAATTGATACGTCGCGTCAGCGTTACAGCTGTGAGCAATTTTGTAAAAATTGGTTCCTGTTTACCTGAAAATCAAGCGAGAGAAGAAGTAGTGTATTATAATCAACAATATACAAATAAGTAACAATTAAGCTTTCTTTAATTGTAAGATTTAAATATATATTTAAATTTTTGAACGAAAGCATTTCTCGGAAGGATGTGCGAAAACATTATTGATAACTATACTAAACTAAATAAGCGCAAATTCAAATATAAAAATTATGACATAATATATACTATATTGGGCAATTATTTAGAAATATCTATTACTGAAAATCACTTCTTTGTAAAGTTTGAATTCTGCCGTATGTCGATATGTGCTTTATAATTCTAAATAATTATTTATGGCAGAATAAAAATTAATGTTGATTTTTCTTTAATTTTAGCTTCGTTATCTATTTTATAAAATATATATCGATTTCCTTAAGTAAAATAACGTTATATTTAATTTTAGACAATAAGTGAAATTATCTACTTACACGTGTATAGTAATCCATGACAAAAACAAAGGTAACAGAGTTATGATGACAAGGCAAGAACATGAAAATTACGTTAATATTAGTGACAGTGGTAAAAGCATGACTGTCCGAAAGATTATATTATTCGTAATACATATTTGAAATTGTAGTCTATTTTCTATTATCGTCTCATACTGATCATACGATACTTTCATCATACATGCTTTCACAGTGTCTTCGTGTTTCAATATTAAGTAACTAAGTCGATTGATTTTAAAGCGTGTGATAAAAATGATTTTTAAAGAAATACATTGCAATGCAATGCATTTATATACTCGGTTGTCAAACAGTTTTGGATTCGCTTTCTGTTTGAAACTCTCACTTTTGAGGCGATGCTTTGACGACACAACAGAAGTGTAAAAACGAATAGAAACGAGTTGTAGGGTGACGTCAGGCTACTCAGCGTGTGACATTTCCAGCATGGCATTTTCTTATTAGCCGGCACACTCTCATCTCAGAGATCCTCCTCTTTCTCTTTTCTTAGTCTCTCAGGTCTCCTCTGAAAGAGACGCAGACATCAGCCAGTATATTGAACATTGGTGCTTAAACCGATAATTATCTTCGAATCTCTCTAATATTTATTCCCTATTCTTCAATTGTTATATTTCCAGATTTAATTATACGATTAAATTACAGATTTAATTATACAATTACATTACAAAATATATTAATATCATTCCTGTTATGTAACATATTCCATATTACATATTTTATTGTCTCCTCTAGTAAAATCTACGTATTTTAAGAAATGAAAATTATACGTGCATATTTAAAGTTTAGTTGATTGCGAAACGCTATTAATTAGATAACATCATCATTTGCATTTTAAAGTTTCTTGAAACCTTCAGAGCGTTTCATCAGAGCGCATAACCTTCGCCGCGATTCTCTCGAGTTGCCCAGTAAATCTTCTGGAACTGAAGAGGGCAACGTTTCGTTTTCACCCTCGAGAACCTGCAACAGAAACAAAAGTCAGAGAATTGTAGTCACCTTACCAAGGAAAAATGAATATTTGTTAACTTTATTAACAGTACTCGAATCGATATATTTACACAATTTGTTCCAAATTTTTCACCGACAATTGAAAAGAGGACGTACATCTGTAAAAAAAAAAATGTTAACCAACCAACTATGCACAGGGTGCTATTTAGCACATATACAGCCGTGTCTTTCCTTCGGCACTCCAATAATAATGCCTACATACGGAGCATATGTACATCTGCTGGACACTTGGTCAATTTTTCCTTTTCTTCCTGCCTCTCTTTTGTTACCGTATCCTGTCTTTAATCGCGGTAACGAGACGTTTCTCTTCCTCTCTGTCTTTTCTCTCTCTCTCTCTCCCTCTCCCACTCCCTTTCCCTCTCCCTCTCCCTCTCTGTCTTTTTCTCTTACTCGACCGGGACATCTTCACGGATACTTTCGAAACTTTCGACGATGGATTTTGTTCCAGTTGCTCGTTTCTTGTTCCGCATGGTCCCCAGATCGAATCGCTTTTATTTACAGTGGCTCACAGAGAAAAGTGAGCGAACTCTTGCCATGCAAATTTCTCACCTATTCATAAACATTTGGTCGTTTCTTTTTTTTGCTCGAGAAATGTATCGATCTCTGTATGGTGAATGATGAATTGGCTTTCTTATCTAAAATCTAAATATTCTCTACAATTACTTCTTAAAGATATCATCAACTGACACACTATCGCGTGAAATTTAATCTTGCTTTTTTTGCTTGTTCCTTTCGTTTTTTTCTTTTCCCCCCCTTTTTTTTTTTTTTTTTTTACTGAACAAAAAAAGTTTACCTACATACATATTTCTCTTGAGTTCCTTTCACTCGTAT